AATACAGCACACTTAATATGGTTTAAATGTTATATTCAAACAAATTCAAAGCTTTATGGGGAAAGAAATTATTTTTATTGGAATACTTGTAAAAAATGTAAAGACAGTACACAATAGCATGTACTTCCCTTACATGGTTTAAATTTTAGAGGAAAAAGGCACTGAAAACTGTCAAGACACTAATTTCAGCATACCCAAAGAACTGTGCATGACATGCCGTGCTTTGCTTTTGATTTTACCTGCACAGCCAACTAGGTGAATTCATAACTTGATTTTTGGTTTGGATTTTTATGCGAGTGTATTTACCCTCCTGTTTACAAATCAGTAAAACATATATGTGCTCTCGCTCTCACTTCCTAGGGATAATCACCTGAAAAACATTAATTACAACTTTTGAAACTGCCAGGCTTGCCTAATATTGTATTGGCATCCATTCATTGTTACTAATGAATTTTATAAAACAATGAATTTTTAGAAATGGAAAATTTCCTACAGAAAAATAAAGCACTGGAAAATTTTCTGCCCCGCATCTGTCCCCAGTCCCAATGAATGCGCCTCTTTCTAAGCCACATGTGTTCTGCCATGCACATGGTTTTCGGATCAGGAATTGCATCCCAATTGCGTCCTACTTGCTAGTGCAGGGGGAGCCCAGGATCATGGTGGCACCTCTCCAACTGCCAAATTTCCAGACCTATGGGGAGCCTCAGGTCCTGCATGCCAGATTGGGTGCCCAGTCCTAATGTGCAGGGCCAGCCAGGGGTGGTGCCAGGGCCCAGGGCCCAGTCCTGGTGTGCAGGGCTCTGGGGGAGGGGGCAGTGCCAGGCCTCTGGTACTCGGTCTTGGTGCGCTGGGGTGGAAGGGGGTGGTTTCAGGCCCCTTCAGGCCAATTCTGGTGAGCAGGGGGTCGTGCTGGGCCCCCAGAATCCAATCGCAGCATACTTGGGCAGGAGGGCACTGTGCCAGCCCCATGGGGACTGATCCTGCAACAGGAGGGTGGAAGGGAGTAGTGCGTGGAGCTCAGTCGGACCCACAGGTGAACCTCTCCTCACTCTGGCCTACGGTGCCGAAAGGTTGAGCACAACTGGTCTGGGAAAATGCACATCCCACTTGAGATGTATAACTTATGAATATTCATGGACAAAACTGAGTTTGAGTGCTTAATGGTAAAGGGGAAAATAAACACGTATGGGTTGACTTGGAAGTGATGCAAACCTAAATCTTCACTTGGGGTCACTGAAAATGATGGGTGTTTGGTGCTACAGTTCAGTGACTGTAAGAAGCCATAGCAAGGTAGAAAGAAAGACTTCCAAGTTGTTTCCATGTGCGTCCCCGTGTCCTGCTTGTCCAGGAGAGCTCATTATCTGGGAGTGGGATGTAGCTCACTGAAGAGTTTGGTAGGGAACCAAGAGCAAAGGAGCTTGAACGCCAGTTCCTAAATACTTCCTTTTGTGGTCTTGAGTTTTAAAAAGGATAAAATTTGACTTGTTAACTTTTTTCTTTGAAGTAAAATAAACTTCAAGTCGGGGGGCATGTGTGTGTGTCTCAGAAGTGGAGGTTGCTTTGGTGAATTCAGATCGAGTGACTGTCCAGGTTTTGTTGGTTTGCAGCCTCATTCCTCTTTTTTAAACCCAATCCCGTTGCTATGGAAGACTCCCACACAAACATGAGAAGCTGACAATGAGAATATACAGGTCTAGACAGGGCTTCCTTTCACAGAGTTAAATGAACTGAAATCATGCTATCTTTCAGTTGTTTTACTTCCTCATGATAATAGGAGGCCTAGGGACTTGATCAGGTGTGTCATATGAGGATGTTAGCGTTTCTTTTGCCTGATCTCACATCTTAGAAAATGTTGAGGATTAGTGAGTTTGTAATAAAATACTGGGTGTGTCTACACATTCAGTAATGAGCTGTAATTATGACACATTACGTTTAATACTTGTAATAATAGGTAGTTAACTTAATGCACTATAATCGGGGCTACTGCCTAGTAGTGCTGTCCCACACTTTTTTGTGAAGCTAATGCACGGTAGACTAATTCTACTGCGCATTAGCATGGCAGGCAAAAACTGTGCTAATGCCCAGTAGAATTAGTCTACTGTGTATTTAGCATCTCATGTAGACACACCCACTGTGTAGGAAGTATTTTGTGGCAGGCATTTGGAAGTAGTGGGAACATTTTAAAGAAAACCCTGAAAAAATTATTATTGGATGAGCACTGATTGTCCCTGCATTTACTTCTACTCTGCAAAATCCACTAAGGTTGAGTGTTACAATATTGATGTGACATGTTGCATGCTTATTAAGATGACAGCCTAGGTCAGGGCTTCCCCCACACTTGAAAGTTGATCTTCCCTTTCAAAGAGTAAAGCCTACTGTGTGTTTAAAGGCCCACCCAAAGTAAATAGATACTCAGAGTCAATTGGGTAAGTCTTCAAAATGTGGTAATGCTTCCCAGCTTTTAAGGTGCTTTGAGCAACAAAACCATCACTGATGTTGTTTTATAGTCATTGCCATCATCTGAGCTAGCATCTGTAGAAATAAATGAAGCAGTTCATTTGTCGGAGCTGGCGTTTCAGGTTTCCTTCTAGCTCCAGGTACCTATAGCAGCATGGTTTGCTTGGGTCCCTTTTTTTTTTTTTTTTTTTTTTCAAGGGTTGTTTGTAAAACAAGCTAGAGATGCTTTTAAAGGAAAAATGAGACTCTTTTTTTGGAGTGCAACCGAAGCTCACCCTTCACTTTCTCACCAGGTAGTCCTTGGTGCACTCCCACTTCGGGAAGCATTTGTCTAGTTGGATTGGCAGGAGGCTACTCAAATTGATGAAATACTTGAGGCAGAGCTGTACTGAGGGGAGGGAAGGGTGGAAACATTACCAATCCTGTAAGAGTAAATATGAAACGTGAATTTCATATATGAAACTTGCATTTATCGTATGCAGCTGCGTACTTTATATGTCAGGAGTACTGCACTGACTTATTTCTCCTCTTTCCAGAATATGGTATCAAGTTTTCGGGTATCTGAACTACAAGTGCTATTGGGCTTTGCAGGGCGTAATAAGAGTGGACGGAAACATGACCTCCTGATGAGGGCACTGCACTTGCTGAAGAGTGGCTGCAGCCCAGCAGTTCAGCTTAAAATCCGAGAACTCTACAGGCGTCGGTACCCGAGGACAATTGAAAGTCTGACTGACTTGTCGGCACTAAAAACTTCAGTTTTCAACTTGGACAGTAGTTCTTCACCAGTAGAACCCGACTTGGCCGTTGCTGGAATCCATCCGCTACCTTCGACTTCGGTCACCCCTCAGTCCCCTTCATCACCTGTTGGTTCTGTCCTCCTTCAAGACACTAAACCTCACTTTGAGATGCAGCAGCCGTCACCTCCAGCTCCACCTGTCCATCCTGACGTTCAGCTAAAAACCCTCCCTTTTTATGATGTGCTTGATGTTCTCATCAAACCTACAAGTTTGGGTAAGTGTTTAATTTTAAATTAAGCGACCCATATTACCGTTTTACAAAGACTCATTTTAGCAGCCACTGTTTTCATCATTGCACCTGATCCATAAACACGCAAGCCTTAAAATAGTTCACTTCTCGAGTCAGATGCTTGCAGAGAGGCAAACATTTCCATTTTGTAAAGGTGCGAAATTCTGCATGGCATTTTGTAAATTGTCGTAACTGGCACTTCAGAAGCACTAATGTGCGATTTTTTTTTTTTCTTATGCCTCAAAAGATTAAATAAATTGCTTCCAACTTGACCTTTCTAACCAAACATTTCTTGTGATCATTATAATGGGCTGTGGGGAAAGAAGGGGGTGACTTTTATCAGTTGGAAATGGATTTTGGAAAGTAACTTTTAATCCATGTGGAGAAGAACCAATTGTACTCTACAGAGTCAGGAGGAACGTCTCAAAATTGGCAGATTAACTTTCTTACAGAGAGGTTACAATTAAGTAGCTTTTGTGTACAGTGAAGGGTATGTCAAGTCTGCCCTTGTTCTAACATCACAACTAAAGCACATATATAAAATGTTTGGTTTTACACAGTGGTATACTGTGTACAAGCTGAATGCTGGTTGTGACTTGTTCACCTCCAACCTGTCATTGACATCAAGCACCGAGTAATGTTGTGTGTTTAACTAAGACTTCAAATTATTTATCCCCCTTAAATAGCCCTTTTTTTATAGTGTGTTCATTATTTTTTTCAATGTTGATTCAACTTGTATCAAATTTTTATATTCTTGTTTCCACAGCTCTATGTTACCTTGCACTTGCTTGCAATCATCACCGTCTCTTTTCTTTCCTTCCCCTTCCTCATTCCCTAAAACCCACCTTTTTGGTACATTCTCAAACAGCACGCAATCTTTCTCTGCTCCCTGACCTCAATTTGGACTTTGTATGCCCCAAGAGAAGTGGTTTTTTATACTGTGCCAACATGTCTTAATAACTTAATTTTAAGTGAAGGTAAATGCGTGTTGCCCAGCAGGAATAACTGCTGTATTTAATTGAGAAGGCTTGAAAAAAAAAATACTGGAAGTGGGTATAGAATCACTTTACCCAAAGATGTAAATACAGTCCACCTGTTTTATATACCAGCAGATTATGTTTTATTGGATTACTGTTAATCAGGTACTCTAAACCATTTCTTTCCAGTTGGTGGGAGTAACCTTGATGTGCACACAATGTACCCATTTTCTGATTCCTCCACCCATACCCCTTGCATTGCTGTCCCAGGTCTTAAGTTAACTTCCTGAATGGTCTAGATCTTGATTTGCAGTGTGGTGAATAAGTGCACAGACACTTGTAGTAGAAGTAGCATTGTATTTATTCTGCCAGTTCTCACTGTGGCTGAACTCATCAGATGCAAGGCTTGCCATGACATTTCTGAAGTTAAAGTATAAAATATTTATCTTTCCTTAGGGCTGTTTCTTTGTAGCCCAGTACAGATTTCCTGGAGTGATTATTATTATATATATTTTTAAGAGTGCACATTTTCTAATCCAGTTAAAAAAAACAAAAAAAACTTGGTTCATGTGTTTAGGAGGTATCAATTCATAAATGCAGCTGATCCACTTAACGGATAACATTTTAAAATTATAGAACCAAACGGCAAAGTGCCCTGAAGTAATTACAATAGAAGTAGAGGTAACAAGGATAGACTTGATCCTATTAAATCAGGGAGCAGCAGCATGTGGGTAATACCATGTTGAGAAGTAGGCCAATCCGAAAGCACTGCTGGATTAAAAGTTGTAGCCTCAAACTAAACCTTTCTCCCTCTTCTCTCTGGTGGGTATCATGCTTGTGGGTCGACTTTTTATGTTTCTGGCTGACACTTCTTTTTTCCATGTTTTTTCAATACTATATCAAATACCATCTCAAGTAATCAAAATGCTTTTTTTTATGGGACAGTAACCCCCTCTTTTACCCTCATGGTCCAAATAAAGGGTATATTGATATTTGCTCATGCTTCAGATTCTAAGTGTATTTACAGTCCAGGCTCATCTTGTAAACAAGAGTGGCAAACATATCTGCATAAATTGTCAGACTGATGGAGAGGAGAAAACTGTTTTTTAAATGTGTATTGTTAGCAAAAATTAAATCTCTGCTTTGGTTTGGAGAAATCTGGTAACCAGTTCCTCCCCTCTAGGAACCCATTTTAGTTACTAACCTGTAAGAGACCCAGTGCTCTAATTATTGTTAGTAGTTGGTATGTGCTCCAGCTGAATCCTCCTACTGGCATATTCTAAATGGCTTTCATATTTTGAAATATCTGGGGCTGATATGGTGCTGCATTGATGCCATTTCGCACAAAAGAAAACATCGACACTGCTCTGCCATGAGAAGGACAGGAGAAACATGGACCGTAACAGTACTACCTTCCTCTCTCTGCCACCTGATGTGCAACACCCCTGCTGGGTCCAAAACCCTGCTCACACAGTCCAGCAGGAGTGCATCTTGTACAGGAGTTGGAGAAAAATGACTGCAGGTTGATATCTTGCTGGACACATTTACACTTACATTTTACTCTTTCCATCTCCACAACTCACAGCTAGATGCCAGCAGTGTGTAAGAGAACTTCTTATAATTAGTACTGTTGTTTTGGGAAACACTGCATTTTTTTTGGAGTAGGGGGTGTGCTGTCATCCCTGTGAAGGCAGTTAAGGTTGCGTGGTGGGGTTCTGGGTGCAACAGAGGGCTTCTTACAAAATGTGCACTTGAAATATGGCTTGTCTCTTGATAACAGGAGCTCTTGTTCTGGGGATATGTGGAGCCCTTAACTGAATTCATCCTTGTCTTCAGACTCCCAAATTCAGATGTGAGAAGTTGTGTGTCCTGAAAGGGCAGTGGGGCAGAGCACGGTGATGTGGCTGCAGCCCAAGACCTGTTCTGTCTGTGTTCACGTGTGTGCACTTGAAGGGGGGGCTTGGTATACAGGCAACTCTCAATCCTCTGGATCATGGTGCATCTGTAAGAGGTCCTGTCAGGTGTCTGGTGAATCCACTTGTGGCTGACGAGCCCAACTCAGGAGCAGCACAGCTTGTTACTAGTTTCACATATCCATGTATTGTCCAAGTCCCAGGGGGGATTGGTAAGCAAATGACAAACAGGAGAACCCAGACAACTTACCCTGAGGCTGTCCAATTCATGGGCTGCATGCAGCTTGCAAGGGGTCACCTGGTAGCCCATGGACTTGTGCCAAGGTGTCATCGCTCCCCCCCTCCCCTGCCCAACTCCTGCCACAATCTCTTTTGGTTTCTTGCTTCCCTCCTCCCCCTCCCCCCCCCCCAAGGAACCATGACACAGTGCAGGGGGGCCTGGGAGAGCTTGTGCAGGAGAAGGACCCAGAATTAGAGGGCTGGAAGGGTCTTCAAGAGATCTCCAAGATGAGTCTCTCTCTAGACCAAGTGTATCAAACACATGGCTTGCAGAGCCCTGCTGTGTGACCCCAGTGGTGTCCCTGGGTCTGATCAGACCCACACAGGGCATAACATGCCTGTGGCTCCAGGCTGACCCATGGGCTGTATCTAGCTCATGAACCCCCTTCCACTCCCCTTCTCCTTCCCCCCACCCCCAGCATACCTAATCTGGTGCAGCCACTGTGGGACCTCCACCACATGCAATACAGATCCTGGAGTGGCTGAAGTGGGTGTCACATAGAGTGCAGTCCCAGGCCACATGGCACCCACTTTGGGATGTGTGGTGTATATGGTGCTGTTCTGGAGCTGCTGGGGTGGCCATCCTGTGGGATGTGTGTTTCAGACTGTCCGTTTCTTCTCTCTTCCCCTTCCCCCGCCGCCCTTTGCTGTCTCAGCCTCCAGTGTTCATAATACTCTCCATAGACATTTAGTCCATCTGGCTTTCTCTAGCATGAAAGGCTGAAATTCTTGAGGAGTGTCACTTCGTTCAGGCACAGCTAGCATCAAAGTTTTCCAGTGAATCATTACTCTCCATCTGGCCACCAGCAGTTCATCTCCTTGTAACTGCCCTCTGAAGTGCTTCAAACTTTAATTCCATTTTACAAGAAACTGTGGAAATGCATCTTTGCTGTTCTGCAAGCCATCAAGAGAACACGCAAAGCCAGAGTCCTGGAACACTAACTTTGTAATCTGTTCTGAATTTTGGAATTTAAAATGTACCAAGTCACGGTTGTAAAAATAGAAAAAATCGCCTGCTTTAGTTTGAAGGGCCTGATCCTACTCTGCGTAATAGGGCATCTGCATGGTACATAAATGCAATTCTGTTTCACTCTGCCTGGATCCCCGAAACACTATTAACACACAGACTTTTATAGCACTCCTTCATTTTAGCTGTAAGGTAAAGTCTTAGAAAGTGTCAGAGAGGCCCCACTCACAATTTTGTGTTTACTGACCTGTTCAGGAATGTATGTAGCGTGGAACTGGATTGCCCGTGTAGGAGTTGTCTCGAGCGCAGTTTAATGTATTAAGCCACCTGCACATAGTTGAGCGGATCATACCCTTGCTTCTTCACTGGTAAAAACACTGTGATCTTTTTAAGTGTCCTAGTCCTTTGTCCCGGAGGAATACCATAGGGGACTAGTGTGCTATTCCACTGCCCTTGCTGCTATTTAGACTTTTGGTAATGGACCATCCTGTTTAAATTTTTCTTTGCATTTCTTCTCTTTCAGTACAGAGCAGTATTCAGAGGTTCCAAGAAAAGTTTTTTATCTTTGCTCTAACACCTCAGCAGGTCAGAGAAATCTGCATTTCCAGGTAAGAGGGGAGAGCATGGTATGTATGTGAGTTGTTGGGTTTTTGGGGTTTTTTTGTAATTGTGCATTAGATTTGCAGAATTTCAGGGGAATTTGTCAGAAAAATATTTCTCGACTACTTGGCTTGCACGACACTCTCCTAAGCAAGATGGACTAAATGCATCATTTGAAACCACTGAAACTACTCTTCGTACAAAGTTGTGTTTGATGCAGGATTTTCCTGCATCACTAGAGCACTGGATAAGATGGACCTAATCGTCCGAAACTAAATATTTGTCGTGAATACTTGGAGGATGATAGCTTGTATTTTCTCTTTGCTCAGGTGGGATGTTGTTCCTATCGTTGCTGACAGTCTGGGGGCTTGTTTGCTTTACTGGCTTCAGACTTCTCATGAGCTATAAAATGGCTTCAGTAGAGGAACCGTACTGAAGGCCTGTATAAGCCTCTTACGATGCCCACGAGTAACGCATACAACCATTTAGAATAGTTTGGATCCGACGTTCCGAAACTCTTTCTTATTGCATACCCCCTCCAGATTTACCAGCTGCCCACATACTCCTACCAGCATGTTTCATATTTTAACCCCTTAAATGCCAATTATTATTATAATGGAAATTAAATCGGCCATTACACAATTTCTCCCATTTACCAACCCTTGCATACCTCTGGGGGTACGCATGCATACCACAGTTTGGGAGCCCCTGGTTTAGATGACATTGGACAGATCCCAGTGCCTTCCATAGTGGATGTGTCACTTAAACTGAGGGTGCTATGCTGCAGAATCAGCCCCAGTACAGCTGTTTGCACCTCATTAAGGCTTGTTATCTTGGTACTCAGAAGACCTTGCCCCTAATAGCAGACTTGAAGTTGGCAGGACCTGGCTAGTTTCAGGGTTGCTAATAGCACAGCACTGACTACAGCTGAGATGAACTCAGAGGATTAAATGCTCAGTTTACAGGTCAGGTGATTATTTCTTATTGCTAAATGATGCTTCTCTGTGTAGCTTAGCTTATATTTTATTTAGTATAAGTAGATAGTATTGGTTACAAGTGCTTTGTTCTTTTATTCTTGATAGTTTTGATTGTGAGAGAGAATTTGAGTCTTGAAAGTAATTTAAGATTATAATAGGGCAGGCATCCTTTGTTTGTTAGTGACAAATGAAATGTAAGATTTCTCTCTAATTGAAGACTCTCTCTTACTCCTCCTCTTCCAACAGAGACTTTCTGCCTGGGGGCCGGAGGGATTACACTGTCCAAGTTCAGCTGAGGTGATTCAGAATTTTTCTTATTAGAATTTTTCCATAACTATTTTAATCCGCATGATAACAAATGTATGTTGTTTTGAGTATAATGCTATTTAAAAATGATTTTTTTTTTTTCTGGAAATAGGTTGTGTCTAGCAGAGACTAGCTGCCCTCAAGAAGATAACTATCCCAATAGTTTGTGCATTAAAGTAAATGGAAAGTTGTTTCCATTGCCGGTAAGTGAATAGATTTTGCTGGTACATTAGTTTGCTTTAAGTCTAAAGAGATAGATAAAAACAAAGGGCTTGGCATTTCAAGAGCGCACACGCTATTTTATGCCTAATTTACACAAGCAGTTGCTGAAGGTATGTACATAAATTGGGTATTTGAAGGCACCGACTATTAAGACAAAAGAAAAAATCATTATTTAGCATGCTGCATGCTAAAAGCATTGCACAAGTGTTTAAGTAACTTTCTGCTGGTTGCAGCGTAAACGTTTGAAAATGCTGACGCTGTGACTGTAGGAAACCTTCTTGTGTATAGTATGTGCAGACTTGTACATTTTGGATTTGGTTTGGTGGTTTGTGGCCTGTTCAGCATAGGTTTTCTGCTTGGCTTTTGGCTTGAGCTCATCCTGCTATGCATGAATATCTCTTGCACAGATGCTAGCTTGCTGCAAAACTTCAGCTGTTTGCATCTGCTTGGGTTGATGAGCAGTATTTGGGGTGGGGATGAAAATGGATTAATACTCCATGCTCATTTTCCTCAACCTGTTGGCTTCTTTCACAGTTGATACTGCTCCCTCTCTTGAAATCTTCTGTCCATGATTCTACCCTCTGCTGTTTCTCCTTCAAGCATCTTCAAGCTTTCTGCAGGGCTTGGGGGTGGGGGGAGACGTGCCTTCTCTTCTGCTTCTGCATATTATATTGGATCTGATCTGCAAACACAAATTCAGCTACTACCTCTGCTCATAACTTACAAATCTATCATCTTCTGTTCAAACTGAAATCTTGGCCTTTCTTTCTAAAATATCCTGTGAATATTTGCCATCAGCTGAAGTCCAAAATAAAGCAAAAGCTATAGTTCAGTCTTCTCAGAGTTCCCTCACCCCCCCCAGCCCTCCCCACTACTTCCTTTCTCCATCAGTGTTAACAGTCTCACCATCCTGCCTGTTACCTAAACTGCCTACTGGATTCTGACTAGACTAAACTAATAGAGCCTCATGTCTAGGCTGTTTTTCTAAAACTTGCAGACTCTTTCTATGCAACATTTTTGGGGTATGGGTCTAACCCTCCAAGCAGCTAAAATCTGTTTGAATTCTCATTCTCTCACCTCTCAGTTTCTGTAACCTCCTTCTGTCTGCAGTAGACAAATGCAGTCTTGCCCTGCCCATCCCAAAAGTTGCTGCAGAAATTTTCCTAGCCCATTGTGTTAATCCCTTTTTTGTTCCTTTCCCTCTTCTCCTACATCGCATCAAATAAGGAATTAATCTTCATCTTCAAGGCCCTTCATTGAAGACTCCAACTGGCCTATAATGGCTGCCTCGCCGTTCTTAAAACTCTTGCCACAATGGCTACCAGAAACCTAACAACAGTTCAGCTGCTGATGTGCTGCTACTGCTTGTCCTGCTGAATACTTCTCTCGCTCCCTTGCACTTGCCTGTCTATCTGTTGCCTCTTGTCTTAAATTGTAACCTGGAGCCAGTATAGGCATTGTGTGCAGTATATACTGTGCCTAGTACAACAGGTCTTGGTCCGTGGCCATTTTTTTGCCAAGATGTCTATCATACAGTAGCTGATACTGGGTCTGTGATAGGAATATGCAGAAGGAGAAGCAAAAATAAAATTTTACGAAGCCAGTATTCACCTTGGGGAAGGTCTTTGTACAGTGAGTCTTATTTTTGTTCTGTTTGCAGCTCCCTTTTTTAGAAGCAGAGACCAGGCCTATCATCAAGATGGGCTGAGAGTGGCCACATAAATGATCTGTTCAGTATTCAGGCTTTTTATAGACTGCTGCCAGCCATCTTGGGAAGGCTTTTGCAGACTCTTAGCTCAGACAGGCAGGGGAACAAAACAAGCTGGATAAAAAGAATGCTTTTTGGTTATTTGTATCCATGTATTTCTGAGGTGGTATTTAGCTTTGGGTCTCTGCAGTGAGATTTTTTTGGGGAACCTATTTTAATATTGAGGCCTTCTGGGAGCTGGTGTAGCCAATGCAGCAGATCATGGCAGACCTCATGGAGCAACCCAAGGAACAGAGCAAGTTGGTAGAAGAGGATCCAAAAATGCTTGGGGTGACTGGACTCATGGTGGTGGTCAGTCATGCTTCCAGGTGGCTCCTGACCCAGTCTAGCTAACACCACAGGTAGACCATATAAGTAGTACACCACTTACCAGGGCAAAATTGTGGTAAGACTTAATGCAGCTTTACTTCTAAAAGAAATTAGGTTTCCTTTTATACAAAATGTTTTAAAACTAATGCAGGATATGTACTTGATGATTGGAGAGCTCTAAAAATGAACACTGAATGCAGCATCTAGCTTAGAGAAATCCTAGTTCTGGTCTAAACTCTCCACCATAAATATTATCAAATAAAACATACCAGCTGCTGCAATGGCTTCAGTTCTGAGATGACTAAACTTGTACATTTCTGAAGCTCTCAGAGATTATCTTTGTCACTGCAACTTTCAGGATCATTCATTTTGGAGCCATGACTTTGAAGGTTCATGTTCAACATAAGAAGAGAAATGCAGATTTGTAAGCTCTTTGTGGTTTTAATATTCATCTTTACAACAAAATGTGTGGGCTTCCTCTGTCCTCTGCTGCTGGAGAGGAGAATGTGCATAATAAATATCTTCTCCCCCACCCCCCCAGTAATTTTGCTTTACCTTGAAAAGTAGGGAGGGGAAAAATCTCCTTCCATTGAATTTTCCCCTCCTGCTTTTGACATCCTGTAGTAATGGATCTACAGGGTTTCCCTGCCTAGAATAACAGGAGGATTTCTTACTTGAAATTTTCTTGTGTGAAAAATCTGATCCAACACTCTGAGCAAAAGGAACAAAACTCATGCTTCCTTCCTGTTGTTTGTGGGCACTTTTTTGGAGATTCTTAGTAGTTTGGTTGGAATTTGAAGTTGTACTGCAATAGGGAATAGCCATTTTGATTTCACTCCCCCCTTCTCCCCAGTCTTCATAGTTTCTAGGGTTGGAAGGGACCTGAGCAGATCATCTAGTCCGATCCCCTGCTATGGCAGGAAAGAGTACTGGGGTCAAACGACCCCAGCAAGGTGTTCATCTAACCTCCTCTTAAAAACCCCCAGGGTAGGAGCCTGCACCACTTCTCTTGGAAGTTGGTTCCAGACCCTAGCCACCCTGACCATGAAGTAGCGCCTCCTGATTTCTAACCTAAACCTACCCTCTGCCAGCTTGTGACTGTTATTCCTGGTCACTCCTGGTGGTGCTCGGGGGAACAAGGACTCCCCCAATGCCTGCTGATCCCCCCTGACTAGTTTATAACAGACCACAAGATCCCCCCCTCAGCCTTCTCTTGTGAAGGCTGAACAGGTTCAGGTCCTGCAGCCTCTCTTCATAGGGCCTGCCCTGCTGTCCCCTGATCATGCGAATGGCCCTCCTCTGGACCCTCTCCATGCTGTCCACATCCCTCATGAAGCGTGGTGCCCAGAACTGGACAACCTCTGAATTAAACCTTAAAGTCTAGCTCTGTGAAGCTGCTTTGGGAAGTATCTCTGGCTGGCTGGGTCTTCAGGGTTGTGGCCATTGTTAGCCTGCCTTGATTGACAGGTCTGGTTTCTGCCTTCAAGGAGCTGCAAGCAGAAATAAGACCATTATAATGGATCTGCAAATATTTCTACTAAAAAAAAGGATATTTTCAGGTAATACAAACTTTCATATCCTTGACTCGACATTAAAAGCTTTTCCTAAACCTTGCATTCATCTTGAACATCTGTGTGTGTGTATTTTTTTTTTTTTTTTGACCTGGGTTGGGCAG